CCTGCAGGGCCCGTGTGGCTACGCAGTATGCCACCCCCCCCCCTCCTTGAAAGACCGAGCTTACCTGCGAGGGCGAAGCTGTCTGTCTGAGGGAGGGACCACAGTCCGGGTGGGAGGGGCTGGTCGTGAAGCTTCCTGAGCTAATCTCCGCTTTTCATAATGCGAGTAGATGAGCGGTGCGGATGCTTTCAAATCTGCGCCTGAAATCCACCGAGTGTCGTCGCGATCGCATGCTTTGAATGTGACTTTGTACTGCCGCGGCCTGCTGCCGTACTTGCGATCGGTGATGACGCGGTCAACTTCCTGATGACCATCCATAGAAGGAGGGTCTTGCGATCGTCGGCCCGGAAAGTTGTCGCTCTTGGCTGACGTGTAAGTTGCCAGCTTCGAGGCATGAAAGACTGGATGGACCGTCAGATGCTCTGGAATGTTGATCACAAATGAAGGGCCATCGGGCTCATCGCCCGCTGCTGCTGTCACAGACCATGGTCCAAACCACTTGGGAAGTAGTTTGCGTGAAACATCCTGTTCCAGTGCAAACTCTTCCGTGGAGACCCAAACCAGATCACCGGCGCGGATAGGACATGGCACGCGATGCCTGTTGGCTTGCTGCTGCATGCGGACTTGAGCCTTTTGCATATTTGCGTGGGCTTGAGTCAGCAAGTCCCTGTACTTCCGAACGGAAGCGGGGGAGCAAGCGGCGTCAATGTCGGCTGGTCGAGGGAGGAGAAGGTCGGCGAAGATACGGCCTTTCCCTCCACCGTGGTGCAACTCGAATGGAGTCACGCCGATCGCCGGGAGCGCCGAAGTGTTGTAGGCGAACTCGATGTCGGGGAGGCGTTCAACCCAATCTTTCTGGTCCGGACGGATGAGCGTACGAAACATCATTTGAGCGGTTTGATGTGCCCGCTCCGTCTGCCCGTCTGTCTGTGGATGCCGAGCCGAACTTGGTTTCATCATCGTGCCGGACTCCTGCATGAGAGCAGTCCAAAATGCTGACATGAAACGAGTGTCGCGGTCGCTGACAATGTCTTCTGGTACACCGTGGCCACAAATCCAACCAGTGTGCAGGAGGCGTGCTAGCTCGGGAGCCGTGGAGTAGTACTTGCAAGGAAGAAAACGCGCGTACTTACTCAATCGGTCCACAACCGTGAGGATGCCGTCGTGCCCGAGCCGGTTGCGAGGGAATGGACCGTTGACGTCCATGGCAATGGAGAGACCGGGTTCCCGTGGGATAGGCATCGGGTGTAACTCGCCATAGGGATTGCGGTTGCGGGGTTTGCTGCGTCGGCAAACTTCGCATGAGTCGCAATACCGAGTGACATCGGTAATGAGGTCAGGCCATCGGAATCGCTGTCGAAGCCGTGCAATAGTGCGGCTGACTCCGAAATGGCCGGCGAGTCGCGAATCATGATACTTGCCGAGGAGGCGAGTCCGAAGACGACGGTCGCGTGGGACACATAGTAAGTCCTTGCCTCTCGAGTGGAGGAGCAAGTACCCGTCGGCAATGTCGTAATGGCTGGCCGGCGGGTGATCCGAAGATAGCTGTGCATATAGCGTGGCGAAGTCCGGATCAGATTGATATGCCCAGATGAAGTGTCGCTGAAGCTCCTCGTCGAACGCGAAGGCATGATGAGTCATAGCGCAAAGATCAGGTCTTCGCGAGAGTGCATCTGCTGCGCGATTGGAGATGCCAGGAAGATGTTTCGGTGTGAAGTCAAACTGGTCGATGAAGTACATCCATCGTCCGATCGTGCTGCTCACCGTATCCTGCGTCTTGTGGTAGGTCAATGGATTGTTGTCCATCACCCATGTGAACCTACGATGCCCAAGGAGGAAGTGTCGCCATCGCTTGAGAGCCATGATGAACGCGAGTAGCTCCTTCTTCCTTGCATCATCAAGCGAGTTGATGGGAGGCACTTTGTGGCTGAAGCACTCCACAGGGTGCCAGTCGTCGTCGTCGTGCTGTTCCAAGACTGCCCCAATGCCAAAGCCGAAAGCGTCCGTAGTCACTCTCGTCGGCAAGGTGGGGTCATAGATGCTAAGGACGGGTGCCATGAGCATCGCCGTCTTAAGTGCTTGGAATGACCGGCGTGCGTCGTCATCTAATACGAATGGCACCTTTGGCGACTGTAACCTCGTCATAGGTGCAGCAATCCTGGAATATCCGGTGATGAATCGCTGATAGTAGCCCGCCAACCCCATGAATGAACGAACGACCGTGGTGTTGGTGGGCTCGGACCACACTCGTAGGGCCTCGATCTTGCCTTTCGGCGTCACATAGTGGCCCAAGTACTCCAGCTCCTGCTGTGCGAACTCGCACTTGTCGCGGTTTGCTTTGTACTTGGCCTGTCGTAGCCGCTCCAAAACGGTGCGCAGGTGTTCCACATGCTCGTCCAAACTCCGACTGTACACCAAGATGTCGTCGAGGTAGATGAGTAGAAACCGATCCAGCATGTGTTGGAACTCCGTTGTCATAGCCGCTTGGAAAGTGGCTGGGGCATGCGTAAGGCCAAACGGCATAACCAGCCATTCGAAATGCCCATACCGTGTCTTGAACGCGGTCTTGTAGCGATCCTCCTTGCGCATCTCGAGTTGGTGATACCCTGACTTGAGACCCAGCTTAGAGAAGAACTGGGCGCCGCCCAATCGCTCGAGAAGGTCATCGATGCGTGGGAAAGGGCCGGCGTTCCTGATCGTCTGCGCGTTGAGCTTGCGATAATCGATGCACAACCGCAGGTCCTTGTTCTTCTTCCGGACGAAAAGAACAGGAGCACCGTATGGCGATGAGCTAGGCCGAATCCAGCCTTTCTCTAGAAGGTCGTCCAGTTGTGCGCGAAGCACACTTAACTCTTCCTCGCTCATTCGGTAGATGCAACCGCGCGGAGGTACGACCCCGTCCTCGAGGATGATCTCGTGGTGGATGGGCCGATCCGGTACTACTCCGTGCGGGCCTTCGAACACGTCGCTGTAGGCGTCGAGAAGTTCGGTGATGCGTGGATCCGAAGATGAGTCCGTCGATGAAGCGTCTCGGGGCGGGAGGACGTGGAGAAAACACACCCCCATCTCCTCGATGTCGTCTCTGATGATGGAAGCTCGCATGCTTGCGGCGGATACCACGTGGCAGCTGATCGAAGGATGAGGAAGAGGCACCGTGCATGAAACTAATACTCCGTTCCGATCACGAACGTGAACGGTGCGGTTGAAGAAGTTCACCGGGTGATCCTTGCTTTGCAGCCATGACATACCCAAGATCATGTCAAATTTGGTGTCCAGAATATCGAAGGACACCACCTCACTTGCGTGAGGGGCAAAGTACACGGGGACAGCATCAATGCACTGGTCGATTGACTTGTGTGTATGACCGTCTGCCAACGTGACTTGCGTAGGCTGGGACTTCCTCCGGACGCGTGGGCCAAGACCGGCGCGTACCATGAAGTCCTGGCTGATGTAGTTGCGAGTGGCACCGCAATCGATCAAAGCGCTGCAGGTCGCTTCTCCGATCTGAATGCATACGTATAGCGATGGTGCGTCGATGTCGTCGTACCGTTGCGTCTTGAACTCGCGGTCGATCTTCGCAATGTAGGCGTGAAGGTCGACAACCTCTGCTCCGGCGTCCATCAACGGAGCTGGTACTGCAATGTGCAAGTAATCCCGCAATTGTGCCATGAGCATGTTGCAATGAGGTTTCAGCAATCGTCCGGTCGAGGGAACGGGCATCCGTTGGAAGTCCGTGAACGTCAACGGGTCGAGCTCTTCAAGTCTTGACCATGACGGCGAATCCCCGGCGATAGATTGCGGCGAAGCTGCTGAATCGGTTGCCGATGGTGATGAAACCGTGCATGCGATGGATTGTTGCACGTGGAGCGGTTGGTCCAGCGGTGGAACCAAGTGGACAACATAGTCCTCGTAAGTGTAACGAGAACTTGCCACATTCACATTCTCCCCAGATGTGCAGGAGGCCGCTAGCAAGGCGGCCGAATCTGGCGGAGTAGAAGGTGGAGTCGCCTCACCTTCCGCGAAACTCAGTTTCCGGAGTTGAGGCGGGGTCGCACATCCTCCTTGCCCTGATCCTGGCACAGGGAGGTCTTGTGCTTGGTGCTGTTGCACCAATAGCAGYTGCCGTAGCGGCCGCGGACCTTGTACTCCGCCTCGGTCAAGCCGAACTTGACCCATGGAACTTGTACTGGCTGTCCATTTCCGGCCTGCGATGCAAATTTCGCCTTCCCATTGTTGCGGGACTTGTTGTTGCTTTGCGGCTGGACAGCAGCCACCTGATCTCCRTCACTTGATGCTGGAGTGGCTGCTGGGTTATCTCCACTGTCCGACTGGACTGCAGCGAAGTGCTGCTGTCGCGGACCAGTTCGTACCTTCACCACATAGGCCGGCTGCCATGTTGATGTCTCGTGTGCCGCTGACCTGTTGGTCTTGATGATCTCTCTCGCCTTGTCGATAATCTCGGCGAAAGTGGAGTACTGCTCGCGATCACCAAGAGCCTGGCTCAATGCAGCGCAGGATCTGTTGTAGAACTCACGTCTGAGATGTATGAATGACAAGTCCAGATTGGGCACTGCCACAATCTTCTGCCACTTCGTGAGTCATTCCCGTGTTGCAGTGTTGCCCTGTGACATGGTGAACAGACGGTTGATGGCGAGTGCCGACGCGTCGTCGATGATGAACCGCTTCTTCCACAGCCGTGTCAGTTCCTCCCATGTGATCTTGTCCTTCAAGTCAGGTACGTCGACGCCGTGGGAGGTTGCCAGGTGGGTCAACCAGGTCTGGCATCCGCCCTTTGAGTTCATGAACAGGGCGCTGATGTACGCGTGCTTAGCGACAGGCAGGATCCTGAGTTGCGTCGTGAATGCCTCCCACCAGAGGGTCGGATCCTGCTGCGTGTAGTCGTCGAACTTTTCCAGTTGGAAAGTTGGCATTTTGTACAACTTAGGATTGCCATCCGTGTTCGTCGACTGCAGCTGCTGGACCTCGGTCTGCGAGGTATGCAGCTGACTGCTGATGGTGGTCGACGCAGCGAAGGTGCTGATGTCGCCGAGCATTGCCACTACGTGGTTAACGCGTTGCTCTAGTTGGCGGCTAGAGGGTGCACTGCTGGAAGCACCAACACCTGGTCCTGGTACAGCCTGTTCCAGGTCCAGTACACGGGCGTTAAGTGCCCGTGTCGCATCCTCGTGGCTCTGCACTATCCGGCGGAGGTTCGCCAACTCATGGTGTTGTTGCGTCAGATCTTGGAAAAGCTGTTGCAGTTCCTGGTTCTGTCTCTCCAACTCGGACCGTTGGTAGTTGCAAGCATACAACAACCGTGTCACGAGTTTGGAGAGGAACTCCTTATGCTTCTCCTCCGGTGTTGCCTCGTCGCCGTTCGGTTCAAAGTGCCAGAACTTGAGTCTGTCGATGCTTGTGGTTTCATGCCGCTGCAGCAAATCCTGGGCTTCCTTGCAGCGAGCCTGGGCATCTGCGTCTGCTTCGGTCTGTAGCCGCAACTTCTCTGCTGCTGCCGCTGCTTCAGCCTGTACGCGGGCAGCCTCGGCTGCCAGCTGGCGCTTTTCCTCAGCCTCGATCAGATCGATCTGAGCCTGGAATCGCTGTTTGTACTCGGCCAGAGTCTCGTTGGCCAGTTGGCCTGGCATGCCCAGGGCTGCCCCTGTCATGCTGACGTGGCACTGTGACTGTCGTGGCACTGCTGACGTGGCACTGTTGACGTGGCACTGCTGACGTGGCACTGCTGACGTGGCACTGCTGACGTGGCACTGACGTGGCACTGCTGACATGGCACTGACGTGTCACCGTTGCTGATGTGTCACTGCTGACGTGTCACTGACCTGTCACTGCTGACGTGGCACTGACGTGTCATCATTGCTGACGTGGCACTGACGTGTCACCGTTGCTGATGTGTCCCTGTCCAAATGGGAAAAGCATGCAAAGGGGTGGGTGGGAGGGAAAACGTAGGTAGGCAACCAACCCAACAATACTTTCCTCCGGCCCTAATCAACAGATAAAAAAATAAAAAAAATAAAAGAGGACTACTTCCTTTTTTTTTTTTTTTTGTGTGTGTCGATCTATTATGAGTAGGACATGTCAGAAGAGTACTATGAATGAGATCTAGGCTAGGCTTCACAAAGTTTCGGCTTTTACAAACTGCGATCTTGAAATTTTTTTTTTTTTTGCGAAATGGAGTAAAGATGCGATTTTCAGAAAGAACGAAATCCAGTTTCTGAGAATATAGCAACCTCCGAATATGCCTAACGCGATATTGGTAGGCTTCGCAAGATTTCGGTTTTCAAAAAAAATTTGCGAGATAGAATGGAAATGCGATTTTCAGAAAAGAATAATTTCGGTTTCCGAGAATATGACCACTTCTATCGTTATCCCAATATGCCTAGAAAACGAAATACTACGATCAGAAATTTTGGCTATGTCTGCTAACTATCAGAGAAACGAAATGCAACTATCAGGATTTTTCAGACCAAACGAAATGCGATTTATCAGAATTTTTCAGATATTTGTTACGTAAAAACGAAATACCAATATCAGAAATTTTCAGGTAAAACGAAATGCGAATATCAGAAATTTCAGATAGTTATTGCGATAATTTTTTTTTTTCAGAGATTTGACGAAGTCCTACTTGATTTACTAATGAGATCAATAGATCAAGCAAGCTTGCTACTTGATTGAGTGGGTCCTCTGAATGAGAGGTCCGCTCCGATACCAAACTGTTGCATACTGTAACGTGCAGACCAGAACAAGAACCGACCTCTCAATGCAAAGTACAAGATGGCGCAAACGGAAGACTTAAATACCAATGATCCGATCAATCAATGTTGCAATGCAGCTCAGAACATACATCATCATCATCATCCCAGAGTGTGAAAGGAGTCTGGCGCTTCACACAGGAAGACTGCGCCAGCCCCACACATACACAGACGAAGATGAGGGGGGTTAGACGAAGAGGAGGGAAAGCTGGGAATGTCGTCAACACCAAGTCTTCGGCACAGGCCCAAATAGTCCCTCGTCAAAATGTCTGAATCCCAAATGTCGAGTCTGTATCCAATGTCGTCAAGTCTCAGGTCATATCTCTCTCTCGTAGTCCACAGATACTGAGAAGTAGGCAGCGAGAGGGGAAGAAGAGGTGGTGGACTTAGAAGAGGAAGAAGAAGAACTCTCTCTCTCTCTCTCAGTCCAGTACTAACCTGTGAAGATGGCGCTGTGATGCAGGTACCTCGAAGATGGAGCTGGAGCGATGGCGCCACAGGTAAGTACTACTGGCCTCCGCCAGTCACCTCTCTCCCATATCACTACTACTACTACTGCTATAGCGCCCAGCGCTGAAGACTACA